AATTAGGGTGAAAAGCAACTTTCTTACATAGAGAAAAGGAGTCAAAGAATCTATAGAAAATGTTGAAACCACAGAAGAATGTGCCCACAAGAGAAGGAGTGTAAGAGGCAGACTATGCCTGAAAGGAATGAGGGAAAAGAACAGAGAAGTTAAACGAACAGTGGTCTCTTTGGGCATTATTTTCAGTAAGGCCAGAAGGAGGCAAAAGGCTGGAAGGTGGCTGCCTTTCCATGTGGTTAGTGAGGACACTCCTCACTGCCTGGGGAGAGATTTTCTCACTAAACATATCCGGCTCTTCTCCATTGCTCTACTCACTCTGTCCCTGTAGAGGAAGGGTGATGACTCTGATGTGTAAATTTAGTGAGAATAACTGGATGTGCTTAGCTGAGGCCATCCTATCATTTAAGGAACAGGCTTGCAGAAACTGAGTTCTTTTTTAATTTTCCATGTGGGATTTCCCACTGACAAGGCCACCTTGACCAGTGAATGCTGCTAGTTCTGCCTCATGCCGGGGTCCCATTAACAGCCCAACCCAGTGCTTCCTCAATGGGACCTCCTCCAATCTGGTCTTTATCAGTAATTAATATGGCAGTTGAGTTCTCTATTGGCCACATAGCTGATGCTCACTGAGCACACTTGTTTGATACTTGTTCAGAATCCAGCCAAGAATAAGGATGCTATTTATTGAGGAAATCCCGGAAACCTCTGTCCCCAAATTCCCAATATTAGATAAGAGAAAAAGAATAGGGAGAATATTTATGTCTTTTAAATTAATTAGTACCAAACAAAGTGCTAAAACATGAACATCATACTAACAGTTAACAAGTACAGAGCACATAACTACATACCACTGATATGGGCACTTTATACACACTAATTAAAATATTCATGGCAACTCTGGAAGCTACATTTAATTTACATAGAGGAATCTGAGGCGTGTGTGGGTTATGTAACCTGCCCTCAGGGCACAACTGCTAAGTGGCAAAGCCAGTATTTGAAAAGTCTAATTCCAGAGCATAACACATAAAACATCTATACCAACCACTTCCTTCTGAACTGTGGTTCCTCTATGAAAACCCACAACTGAGAAACAACAAACCATTTTATCTTTCTATGTATCCAAGTACTAATGAATGTATTAATGTAGTTTAGTCTGCCCATTTTTTGAAAATAAAAATGAAGATTAGATCATTCACTTCTTTAATTAAACAAATCAAATCTATTGGGTCATCGGAAAAGTCATGATGTATTTTCCTCTAGTTTTCTATGCAAAAATGTATTGAGACTTTTCTGACAACCCAATATAGGAAGGCCCAGGCAAATCAATGTAGATAGAGACATATCTCTCCACCTGTTACAACCTCATGATAGCGTGATGTACAATAATATTGTTATAGTATAACTGTCATGGTCTTTCCCCTTCCCCCTCTGGCAGAGTTTCTTGAAATTCTATAATTCTCTTACTAATTCCTCACTTCCCATGCTGCTGCTTTGGTTCTCTGCAATCAGATTTCTATCTTCATTAAAAAATGGCCTCAGTAAAAAGTCACCAAAGCCCTTCTGATGGCTCCTGGACTCTGAAGCCCTGATCTTACACCACTGTTACATAGCAGCTGACACTATTCCTATTTCCCTGTGTTTGAAATATCCTCCTCTTCTGTCTCTTCACAACACTTTCCCAGC